GGGACTGCTCTGACTCTTTGTTTGATGACAGGAGATACTTCGTCTTGTCTTCGTTGATCACCAAACCCAATCGCTGTGCTCCTTTATCCAACTTGGAAAAGGCGGGACAGACTTCGAGGTTTTTGTTACCGATGATATCGATGTCATTGGCATACGCCAGAAATTACACGCCCTTGTAAAAAATTGTTCCTGAGTGGTTCAGTTCTGCAGCTCTTATTATCTTGCATCATGCGATCGTAAATTCCCTTCTGAATTCGCTTTAATTTGGAAATGTTTGTTTGGGCATATAACAGGAGTTCACAATAGTAATAGTAATCATAATCATAATAATATTATCTGATGTTATTCGAAATTTCTTTACTCGCATCGAGCAAAGCGTCGATTTCAAATGTATATGTTTCAATGGGAGTGCGTATAGTGAAGAGCAAAGCGTACATACACTGTTTTCATTGAAGCTTTGCTCGATGACAGCTCTTCGCTTCGCTCGCCGCTCCACTATATTTTGACCTATGGCGCTATGGCGACCGAACGAAATTGTTTATGATTCAAATTTAACTGTTTTATAATGTAAAGGAATGGTTACAACAAATTTAAGTTTTCATTATTTCATTTCATGGGATATTTTTATGGTTTCGTTACGCTTTTTATCATTTCTTCATTTGTATCCGTAACTTGTTATTAATTTTTTTCCATTGCGTAATTTGTACACCAACTTATCACTTTGTTTGATAAGATATAGTAAATTCTCTCTTTTTTAAACTGTCCGGATTTGGATGAGTGGAAACTTAAAAAAAAATCTCTAGTAAAGCTTCCCCAATCACTTTCCGTTTCGAACCAGTTATTATACTTCAGTTAATTTCAATATTTTCAGTTAATTTTACATATTGCACAATCCTATTTAAAGGCCTAAAGTTTAATACCCACATTGCAAAATTTCATTTCTTTTAACAATTTGACTGAGTTAAAATTTTCAAATAGGTGGCAACCTTCCTCAAAAATATTTCCAGCATCTATATGTTTTAAACCTCTTTAATTTGATACCTATATTGTAATAAGTCGTTTTTTTATCAATTAAATTTAGTTAGATTTTCAAATAGGTAACCCTCCTCAAAAATATTTTCGGCTGTGAGCCCTCTTTAAACTCTTTAGTTTGATACCCACATTGCAATATTTCATTTACTTTATCAGTGTAATTTAGTTAAACTTTGTAATAGGTGGCAACCCTAATCATACATATTCTCGGCTGCAAGCCTTCTTAAAACTCTTTAATTTGATACCTATATTGTAATAAGTCATTTTTTTATCAATTAAATTTAGTTAGATTTTCAAATAGGTAACCCTCCTCAAAAATATTTTCAGCAGGTATCTTTCTTAAGGCTCTTTAATTTGATACCAATATTGTAATATTTCATTTACTTTATCAGTGTAATTTAGTTAAACTTTGTAATAGGTGGCAACCCTAATCATACATATTCTCGGCTGCAAGCCTTCTTAAAACTCTTTAATTTGATACCCACATTGCAATATTTCATTTACTTAATCAACTTAATTGAGTTAAAATTTTACATTAGGTGGCAAATACATAGGTAAAGTTGTAAACTCGTTGTTGGTTTTGCATCAGCAACAAACATTATTGTTGCTTTACATTTTGGCGCCCGAGCAGGGACTTTTAGTAAAGTCGTTTTTTGATTTAATATTAAATTTTCGTGGTTTGTTCAGCGACTGGCTGTGGTTACAATAGGAATACAACCTGCCGCAAAAAAGTGATATACAATTGGATACGTACATAGAATTGAGGAGGATTGGACATTAAAGTTGGATTTGGATAAGTCAAAGGGAATAGGAAAAGAAAACGACACAACAAATAAAATTGGATTTGGATACATAAAAGGGAAGGTAACAACAAATATAATTGGATTCAATACACTCAACAAAAGGAATGGGTGACACAAAAGGAAGGTCAGAAACAAAAATGGTAGAGGTAATGTAGAAATGAAATTACTTATGTACCTATAGTGCAGTGCGTAAATCCCCCGTATAAAAAAGCGTTATCCCAATTATATATTGAATTTCGAAGAAGTCCAAAAAATTCCGTTCTCTTAAAAGGCAAAAAAAAATAGCTAAAAAAGTAATCCCTACTAAACGGTATATAAATTGTTAAATTGCCGTCGGCAAATCATTAGTGCCCAATTCAGCTGTACAATTTAATATTTCGGTTGTTGTTGTAATTTCTTCATCAAAAGTACATAGGCGAAGTGCTAGCAACATAATTTGTTCATTTAGTTACCCATTAAAAATTTTCTTACGGGACACAAAATTATTTCATCCATACCTACCCACATATATATGTACGTATGTAAATATTAGGCAATTGACCTTTGGTTTTGCATATACCTACCTACGTGAGCAGAACTTTGTCGTCGTTCATTTCTCTGCTGCTCCCGCATTGTATAGGAACATAGCAAAATACACAAGTGCATGAAGCTGTAGTTACTGCTGCTGCACTCCACCAAAGTGATTGATCCATATACATACATTATTGTCTGAAGACAATAGTTAGTGCACTTGCCTTCATATTTGCCATTCCCCACCTTCGCTTTCAATTTCAAAAAAAAGACAGTGCATTGCTAACATAGTAGGCATGTAATTTTACTGTTTCTCTTCACCTTCAAATGCATAAAACCCAAGTACATAAAAAATTTATTGAGTTGTATGGTTATTGACCTTGTCGTTTCTTTGAATCGAAATTTAATGTACCCAACATTAAATTTATGAGGGCATACAAGTAAATCAGAGAATGGTTGAGATTTGAACGTTGTAGAAGACAACAAGAAAATTTGAAGAAAATTATATGCGTATACAAAGTTAAAGCAAATATTTGGACATTTAGCTTTCTGAATATCAGGGTGCGTTGGCTTTCCCATATAAATAAATTTGCTACCTTAATTTAAATCATTTGTTGTTAAATAAATATAAGGGTTCGTTGAGCATTTTTGTTTTAAAGTAGATCTGTCAAAATAGTTTCAGGCGATGAGGATGACTCAGCGGCAAAGTTAGCTACACTAAAGCAGCAACGCTCAACTGCTCGCAAAAATATAACAAGAATAAAAAACTTGTTGGACAATACCTCCACTACGTGGAACGTTATAGATTTAGAATGCAGGCTAGAAATTTTGAGCTCATATATAAAGCAAATAATGGCTTATCAAACGGAGATTGAGAAAGAGGACCCTAGTGATGATAGGAGGGGTGACATTGAAGAGTCGTGCATTAGTGCAAAAACAAAACTCTTGCAGCTTTTGGGGCAGCATAAGCGACGCGAGAGCTCAGCTTTGGAAACGACGTTCGGTATCACCATGACTCAAGGCGAGATCTACCAAAATTAAAATTGCCGTCATTTAGCGGAAAATATTCGGAGTACAAAAATTTTATAAGCTCATTTAACAATTTAGTTCACAATGAGGCACATCTAGCTCCAATAGAAAAATTCAATCATTTGCTTAGTTGTTTGTCGGGTGATGCACTTAGAACTATTAAAGCATTTCAAGTTACAGAAGCCAATTATGAAAAGGCTTTAGAGCGATTAGCTGACCGATATGACAAAAAGGGGTTAATATTTTTTGATAATATAGAACAATTATTTGAAATTGAAAAAATTAACAAACCCAATGCGCCAGCTCTGAGAAATGCAGTCGACACTGTGTCAGCAATTTACGATTCGTTGTTGTCCATGGGCTCAGAAAAAGATATAGCTAACGCCCTTATAATTAGCTTGGTGATTTCAAAGGTCGATTCGGTTACCAAGTCAAAATGGAATGAGCAGTTAGATTACTCAACACTTCCTACATGGAGCGAATGCTCCAAACATTTAATTCGTCGTTGTCAAGCCCTAGAAGTGAATGAAGATCATTCCAATAAAAATTTATTTGAAAAAAAGAAAAATAGTAAAGCCAGTTTTAGCAACAACAACAATAAGGCTTCGTATACAGTAACGAGAAGCAATAATGAGGGTAAATGCACATTTTGCCATACCAACGGTCATTCAGTGTATACTTGCAATTCCTTCGCTGCCCTGCCAATTACCAAACGGTTCGAATTTATTAAAAAAGAAGGAAGTTGCATAAATTGTCTGAAAACGGGTCATTCGGTACGAAGTTGCTCAAAATCGCACTGCAGAGTTTGCCAACGTCCCCATCACACCCTGTTGCATAGGTATGAAGTGAACACTCAGCAAGGCAATTCGAGTGCATTCAATAGTAATGGCACAGAGCAACCATCTTCCTCCTCACCTACTACTACTTCAGCGAACCATCGCTCGTCACACCACGTATCGAGCAACACAGACATTGTAGTTTTAGCCACTGCCTTAGTAAAAATTAAAGATCGCAGCGGAAATGACCATTTGGTAAGAGCTCTTTTAGACTCTGGCTCGCAATTGAACTTCATAAGTGAAGAATGTGCAGCTAATCTGCAGCTAAAGAGAGAATTTAAAAATCTCAAGTTATCTGGCATTGGGGAACTTAACACTAATTTGAGGCACCAAGTAAATACCACAGTTAAATCCAGACTAAATAATTATAATTTCCAGGCAGATTTTTGGGTAATTAAATCCATTTCTAGTTACCAACCCGAAGTTAACATTCAATTTAGCACTTGGCAGGTCCCACAAAATATTGAGCTTGCAGATCCTCAGTTTAATAAACGACAAAGAGTCGATCTGCTCATTGGGGCCGACATATTTTTCGAATTATTATCTGTGGGCCAAATAAAATTAAAGGAGTCATTACCCACATTGCAAAAAACTCTTCTTGGTTGGATAGTTTCTGGTCGGTACAAGCAAGGCAACGGCATTGAAACCGGAGCGTGCAATATAGCAAATGAAATTACCGACGCATCATNTGCAACCTGACGATACTTAAAACAAGAAATATTCAGTTTGCGTTGAAGGAAATCATTATCATATATACAACGAATTCTTAGCATAATATTATCCACATATCTCAATTATTCCTGAAATATTTTTCTCTTTTTATATTAGATCTTGTCTAAATGCTTCTATGGCTTCCTGTGTTGTGAATAACTTTTTCGGATTAGATGTAGGTGCTTCTGATGTTGTTTCAATGATAGATGTTTTATTTACGTCCTCTTTTAATCCATTTTGATCACTTTGAGTCCATTTCATTAGTTTAAAGTTCAGTTTTATGTTTATAGTATCATTATTAGGTAGTTTCCGAGAAAACTCTGTATTTACAAATTCATTTTGACTCAAATCAATAAAAAACCTCATTATATTTATTTTTTTTATTTTAATTGTTTATTAATAAATTTGGGGTTTCCCGTACCACACGGGGTTTTAATTTAAAATATTGATGTCCATAATATACTATAAGATATTTTTTTCCTGTCCAATAATATTCTACTTCAGGAATAGGATTTGTAGGTATCTCGTCACAAAACACCTGTAGGTCACGCGATTCTACACCTTCAGTAGATATTCCATTCCATAGGTTCTCCATTTATATAAAATTCAGTCTATAAACGTATATAAAAAATTGAATATCAGTTATGTTCTGAAATTCGTTCGATTTGAAATCGATACGATTTTAGAAATATTTTTATGGATTTTTAATCATAAAACTCATAATTTGGTATTGGTATGGATGATATAACATCGCTGATGTTTCTGTTATATTTTTTATATAAAATATTCAATCTTTTCATCAGAAATAATGATCAATATTTAGCAAGTCATATCGATTTCAAATCGTTCGATTTACAGAAATTGCCTGTATATGTATATATGTATATATATTTTAAAATTAGAAAACATTTTTTCTATTATTATTAGATCTTTTTAGTAAAAGCTTACCTTCATCCTTTGTTTAATCTTTATATGTTTATATAATTTACTTAAAACCTTTCATAAAAATGGACCTTATGCACAGCAAATTTCTTTGATAAATGAGAACTCATCTCAATAAAGAGATAAGTTTATATACTACATTTTCATCTCTCTAATAAGCATAAGAATTCAAAAATTGGCGAGCTTTCAAAACGTCAATCACATTTAATAAATCAATGACAATTTAAAAAGAATTTAAAAATAGCCAAACAAAAAATTCTATGCTATACATATATATTTAATTTCTCTGATAAGCCCCAAGTTGTGGTGTGATTTTTAAAACATTAATATATTAGCCTATTCATCTATTTATTAATATAAGAATAACCTTGATCTTGATTTCATCATAATTGTTTGTCTAATAAGTATATTAATGCCAAGTGGACGATAACGAACCCACATAAATATATAAAAAAATTGCTTAAAAATGCTTGACTTACTGAAAAAAGTTGTTAAGTCCACTTTTTATGAAAACTCATATTTTGATATAGGTGAAAATCTATAATTTCTATGAGTTAATAAAGTTATTACTTATATGAAAACTGATGAACTTATATAAAAATTAACGAAATTATATGAGTTCATCAACTTAATACTTGTATAAAAATCTATAATTTCTATAACTTAATAAAGTTATTACTTATATGAAAAAATATAACTTGTAGTTAGTTAATAAGTTACTTATATGAAAACTGATGAACATATATGAAAATTAATGAAATTATATGGGTTCATCAATTTAATACTTATATGAAAATCTATAATTTCTATGAGTTAATAAAGTTATTACTTATATGAAAACTGATGAACATATATGAAAATTAATGAAATTATATGGGTTCATCAATTTAATACTTATATGAAAATCTATAATTTCTATGAGTTAAAGAAGTTATTACTTATATGAAAAATTATTCAAAACTCAAAACTTCTATGAATCGAAAATGTATGGGAAAAATATGAAATTTCATCAAAATAATGCATGCAAGAAACATTACATATTTACCCGACTTTTTTTTGTACATTGACAAAATCTATGAAAATTTGAAACTTAATTAAGAAACAATTGGGCATATGAAAACTAATGAAACTAACTTACATGAATTAATAAAGCAATTACTTACATCAAATATTATAACTTTCATGAGTTAATATAGATATTACTTGTATGAAAACTGATGAACTTATATGAGTTCATCAATTTAATACTTATATGAAAATATATAGTTTTTATGAATTAATAAAGTTTTTTCTTATATGAAAAATTATAGCTTGAATAAGTTAATAAGATAATTACTTGTATGAAAACGATTGAACTCATATGGGTTCCTAAATTTAATACTTGTATGAAAAATTATAACTTGTATGAGGTAATAAATTTTATACTAATATGAAAACTCATAACTTCTATGAGTTAAAAAGGCTAATAGTTGTATGAAAATTTTTTAGCAGAACCGAAAATATACATATAAAAAAAAATATTTGAAATTGATAAATATAAAATTTCATCAAGATAATGCATGCAAGAAACTNATATTTACTTGACTTTTTTTGCACATTGAGAATATCTATGAAAATTAAGAACTTATGTGAATTAATAAACAATTATTTATTTAATACTTGTATGAAAAATTATTACTTGTATGAGTTACTAAGACTATTATATGAAAATCTGGAACTTATGTGAGTTAATAAAATTAGTACTTGTATGAAAATTAATGAAAATTGTATATGTTGATAAATTTAATACAAACTGTATTTTAAAAGAGGTTTTGTATAATTATTAGTTCTGTGAAAAATTGTATCAGAGTCGAAAATGTATGGGGGAAAAATATGAAGTTTCTAGATATGAGAATTCACCAAAATAGTGCATGTAAGAAACATTAGA